TTTTTTTGGTCCGCGTTCGGCCCGAACGGCCGAACGCCTTCCAAAGGGGTCCCGTACGTTCGGGCGTTCGGGTTCGGGCGTTCGGCCCGTCCCGAACGCCGGCAACCCTGGTTTGCTGTGTGTCTGTATCCTGGTATTGCCCCGGGATAGTAGGTAGCCTGGTATTGCCCTGGGATAGGTTAGACCCTTGCTTGTCGGGTTGTGGTAGGACCAGTGCATAGATAAGGGTGGTCGCCATACCAGATACGTGAGTGGATAACGTAGGGTAGGTAGCTAGCTAGTGTTAGGTCGACAGACTCGACACAATATTGAGAGAAGAAAACAGGTTTGTAAATACAGCTGCCCCCCATCTATGAGGAGAAACAGCTTTAAACCACTAGTACCTTTGCCGCGTGGGAAAATGGCGGGCCTCGGGTGGGCCTCTGACCTTTTCGGATGGCCGAAACGAAACGACCGCCGCCGATCAGATTTATCAATGGCAGCCGTCGTCGGGCCCGGCCTCCGAATTTTCAGGAGTCTAGGAAAACAGCCACTTTTCCCTAATTTCCCAACACTGGCGGAGGTACTGGTAACTAGTGGTTTAAAAAAAAAAAAAGAGAAAAAAAAAGGAAGTGGGAAAAACAAAAGAAAAACAGCAACAAAACTTCTCATCAACGCTTTCTTGGCTGTCACCACATTTCACATCACTGATTTACTGATGATTTTAATGGTGATACACAAAGAGCATACTTGTGGCAAACAATCTGCAGTTTGAATTCTGAGAAGAAAAAACATATATATGCATGCAGTCAATTGCACTAGGTGTTGCTTTACACACAGGTCAATCCTTTTTTTTTTTTTGCTTTGGCACACAGTGACACAGGTCATTCCTAGTGCCACTTGAGCAAAGGCGTAGACAGGCTGTGCAAGATAGAGGCTCAGGCACAAGGATTCAAGGGTAGAAGGAAGAGCAACAAGACTCAGTAGTAGACTGTGTGGTTCAACAGCACACAAATACTCCAATGGAGCTGTCGATAAGCAAACACACTGCATGCAACACAAAACTTCACAGGGTGAAAACACCGCCAACTGTCGTACCCTGACCACAAGGCATGGACATTACGTAGCTGTCTCAGGTCCAAAACAATTGTCCTAAATACAGCAAAAAACCCAAAAATGACTATGTGACGACATGCATTGTATTCAGCATAGTATCGTCATTCCAAAGGGAGAACTCCCGGAGCCCTGTGAGATGAGCTCCAACTTCCAACTATCGAGTACAGCGAACAGGTTTGGCAGGAGTACCGAACAGGTTTGGCACCGAAATAGTCCGGTGCCAGTGACCGAGCGCCAATCTGGCGATGGACCGGAGGAAAATGTCCGCTTTTCCACCGCGACCAAGTTTGTAATGTCAAATTACATGATGACTTAAATTCCTGTCGCATACGGAGTTCCACTTGCCATTGTCACACTTGTCAGACATGCGCGGCTTTTGAATGGGACTGCGCTCAATACAGCTCATCGCCACATGCTGAGCTAACAGCTCTGCATCTTCTCTTTTCTTTTTCTTTTCTTGTTCTTTTTTTTTTTTTTTTTTTTTTTTTTTTTTTTCAGGGAAGCGATCTGTCTGTTCTCTGCGGATGAAATGTTGTCCAGACTCCAGACATTTTTAAGAGGTGTTGCTGCAAAAAAAAAAAACAACAGTTGCAGCCAGAATGGATCATTGTGAGCTTGTCGAGAGACGATAACATTGTTTTTCACTTTTTAGACACAGCAATGCAGAATCTTTAGCTGACGTTTCACAAGAAAACATGATGCTAAACTTCCCCTAAAGGCTAAAACAGTAAAAATCCAAAGCTCGACATGCAGTGAGTATTTTATTACCTGTCTATCTTTGCGCCCAACAATTGACATGCAAGCCTCAGTCTCATTTGGCATGACAGCCAAGTCTCCAGTGCGGTACACAACTCTCGTAACTCCGCACACACCACATGGCTGCAACCCTTTCTTGATCATCTTTGCTTCAATGGATAATGCGCCCGTTGATAATTCATCAGTGGATAACCCACCACTAGATAATGTTCTAGTCGATAATGCATCAGCGGATAATGCACCACCACCAGTGGATAATGCACAATTAGTGGATAATGCTCCAACTGATAATGCTCCAGTGGATAATGCACCACCAATGGATAATGCACAATTAGTGGATAATGCTGCAATGGATAATGCACAATCAGTGGATAATGTTCCAATGGCACCACCAGTGGATAATGCACAATTAGTGGATAATGCTCCAATGGATAAGGCACCAATGGATGATACACCACCAGTGGATAATGCACAATTAGTTGATAATACTGTTCTAATGGCACCACCTGTGGATAATGCACCAACGGTAGATAATGCACCTCCAGTAGATAATGCACCACAAGTGGCTAATGTATCAGTGGATAATGCACCGCCAGTGGCTACTGCGATGGTGGATAATGTCGACGTTAAACGACTATGTCCATCTTCCTGCATTATACCAGCATCATCCTGCAAGAATTGGCTGTCCAATTCACACTCAAGAGCTGATTGTCCCTGATGCTTACAATGTCCCTCACTGATCAATGTCTTTCCCGACAAGTTGATGAAACTGCTTGTTGTTGCCTCAGGCGACCGCCAATATTGTGATGCCAAGCATACTCCACCAACAAAAAGCTCGCCCACCTGCAAACAACACAATATAGCCACGCATTTAATCAGTTAATAACATGAGTGCCAGTTCATGGTGATTACTATGTTCGGAATTTGTCAATCGTCTAGGCATTATGCCCATTTGAAGCTTTTCCCCAATTTTAGAACAGAAAAAGAAAGGGAGGGTCTTAACGACCCAGTGCGTGTGGGTGAATGGTACGGTACGCCCATGTAACTATTGTTAAATAGACCTCCTAAGTTCAAATCCTGATGCAATCAGATAAATAACGTACCTCTCTAAGTTACTTGGGTCCGACTCCAAAATAAACTAGTTTGGAGATCTTTGGACTGATTTCATTACAAATATTATGTGCTTGTATACTGTATAGTCGATCTTGCCTCATCCCGTGCCTCTTGGCAGGCCCCAGGGTGGTCCGCTTTTGCGCCGTGCCTAAGCTTACACTACAAGTACTTGGCCATATTTATGCTCCCCAACTCAGCCTCGAACTTGTCACTGAAAATACTTCTCCATATCTATGCTCCCCAACTCAGCCTCGAACTTGTCACTGAAAATACTTCTCCATATTTATGTTCCCCAACTCAGCCTCGAACTTGTCACTGAATTACTATGTACCAAGAGGCATGGGAAGAGGCCAGACCGACTATAAAGACCTATTGCCAGCGGTCAAGAAAAATGGCTAGGGCCGTGGAGAGAACGCGTAATCAAGTCCAGAGTCCACACATTATTGGCATTTATTGCTGAACTGGGGCAAGGAGGTGGATAGGGCAGGGTGAGGTCACAGAAGTAGAGAACAGGGATTTTTGGTTTAACGACTAGGGCGACGACGTAGTGGCGTCCGTGTCTGTTCCTCCAGCAGCAGTTGGTAAGCAAGGGGTGCTTCTAGAGCAGGGGGGCCTTTAATCAGTACGATGTTAGACTACCTACTGGCCTATGAAATATAGGGTGTTTCACAAGCTTTTGCTATGCACAGCTAGATGAGCAACGGTCCGGCAGAAAATCATATAGGAACGACTGGGAAGGGTTAGGGGTTTACAAAAGGCAGTTTCTGTTCTGTTTGGGTAGCTGGGCCCGGCTGCCGCAGTTTCCTTCCTTGGGACACTGGACCCTTCATTGTGCTTGTATGTGGGACACTGGTACCAGTTCCCAACAGGTACATCTCCCTGCCAATATACCAAAGCATTTTATTTTTTTTTTCTGTTTCTAAGCAAGAAAGAAAGAAAAAAAAAAAGCATCTTTTCTTGTCGTGTGGTGCCCTTCTGGGATTAGATTCTCGCGTATCACAACCGCCTTCTTCCAGAGGAACGGCCCACCAATTGATCAGCTCCTCATCCCAAATGCTATGCCAGAAGGACCAGAACATAGAGTCAGCTATCAACAGTTGCACTAATTTATTTTTTTCAGGAGGGGAAGGGGAGGAGAGGGGGAAGAGGGGCAAAGAGGGGCGGAGAGGGGGAAGAGGGGGAAGAGGGG